CTAACACTAACATTATTATCTGGAATCCTCTTGAACAGAATGTTGCTGATAGTGTCTGATCAACGGATTCGAAGTATTTTGCGTAGACAACTGTTAATACACACCTGTATCTTCTGGATGATGGCTTTGGTTTTTCTCTAAGTTTCCTCTCCATACTATTTTGACTGTTTTGACATTTGTATTGAAACTTCTGATCTTTGTGTTGGTTGAGAATTGTTTTGAGTTCCAGATGTTGTTCAGTTGTAAATATGCTGCTCTGGTTTTGCCGATCCACGTCTTCCTATCTGCATCAGAACCACTGTGTTCATCAATGATGCTGCCTATATATGTGAAGGTTTTTACATCCTCCAAAGCTTCTCCGTCAAGTGTAATTCGACTGGTGCATGCTGTATTGTATCGGCGAATCTTGCTTTCCCTTTGTGTACATTGAGACCTGCTGCTGCTACACTGGTCGTGTTCTCTTGTATTTGTTGTTGTGTGTGTGATAGAAGAGCCAGATATATCTGCGAAGTTTAGATCATCCAGCTGCATCCTAGCTGCCCATTGTATCTCGTGCTTCCCGCCGCCCAGATGTTGACGTCTTCATAATGCAGTCAATTACCGGGAGAAAGAGAAAGAGTGAGGGTAAGTAACCTCGCCTAACACCGGTCTTTACCTCAAACGAGTCAGTGAGTTGTCCTCTATGCACAATTTTGCAGTTTAATCCATCATAGGAATTCCGTATGATATTGACTATCTTCTCACGTACGTCGTAGTGTCTAAGAAGCCTCCATAATGTTGTCCTGTTCACTCTATCAAATGTTTTCTCATAGTCAATCAAGTTGATGTAGAGTGTAGTCTTTAATATACTTTTTAGTCCTTGCGATCAGTTATGCAGGAATAAGTGACCAGTTGTGTTGTAATCACAATAAATAACGTAGTAGTACTTTTTCTTCCAAGCTGTAGTACAAATGTTTATTTAAAATTTTGTATATACAACATATCGGAATGTTTATTTGATCTACTAATTAGTGAGCGATATAATGTATAACAGTTGCTGGTTGCTTTTCAGATTTGATTGATTTTCTTTAGTCATCTAAAGGTGTTCAGTTTTAGAAAGTGAAAACTTTTTCAATACGGCACTTTTATTTGTTAATAATAAAACCTTTCAGTCACTTGATGCAAGTGCCTATTTATCTCAGTTCATTCTAGAAATAGGTTTACTGAATAGCCCTAACTACACATCAATATGTTAACGTCATACATAAATACACATCAACAAATGAGGACCTTGAGCATAATAATCATCCAAAATTGCTGTCTAACTTTCGTTGTCCTTCAATGTCTCGCGTCGTAATAGTTTCATTTAGTTGAGTTGTTTTTCAATTTTAGTCGGCATTCATCTAGGTCTTTGAGTCAGACAAAAGCCTAGCATTATACTAGTTATTTAGTGTTTGACGATATTTTGAAAGCAGTTTTTCAATAAACTCCTTCGCGATTACGATGTGTAAGATGGTATTTCGAGGAAGTATACAAGATCTACTTTTCATAACATTTGGCATCCGTCAGCAAGATCTGCCTATAATATTGAGGGAACTGATAACTGTCAAATAACACGAAACTCAGCTACAGGATTTCTTGTCGATTAACTCCACTTAACATCTTACATCTCAAAATAGTGAGTGCAATATCGAGTCACCTAGACCAGTGGTCGTATTGCTAATTGGTCTATAAAATTCTATCAGCACTAAAAAAGGACGTGATCTACGTGATACTGGTCACCATTCAGGGATCAATAAACCGTTAACTAAGATATATCTCAAATATTAATTTAACAGTTTATTAGTAGTATGAACAGAAAGATAAACCTATTGTTTGTTTCTATGATTTTTCATTTCTACCTCTAATCAACCATTAATTATCTAATTAAAAAAATCGAGTTGTCCAGGAAGTTGTAACACTTAGATTACTTCATTATTTAGTCATAACAATGAATACATTTTATTGAAACGTAGATAGAATTTCGATATTTATACGCAACCCAATCAATTTATAATACGGTAATCCATTTAACAGTTGGTAATTGACATGAACAGAAAAATAAAGAAGCCATGACAAACAACGGAAGCTATTTTTTGGGACGTTATTTCACCCTATTCAAAGTTTCTGAAAGAGTAATATTTAGTCATATCCATAGGTTACTCTATAAACCATAGACTTTCGTTCAATGTATGATTCATTGGCATACCCTTTTCTGTTCAAAAGCTATTCTAGCTTAAACGTAACACTTAATTCTTTATTTTTCTACACTAATTCCCAGTTTGAACATAATTGTATTTTTCTTATTGTTTGTTCTTCGTGGTCATGTTAGTCATCTACTTATTCAGGTATCTTTTACACAAATCGGAATCGGGAAACAGGATAAATCGAATAGTGTTCCAGATGACTTGTCTTCTCTCTCCAAATCTCACTTGTCAACCAATCAGGTGGTAAGATAGTCTTCGTCTCTCTATTCAAGGCAGTTAGTCTGGATTCGGACTAACGAGTTTTTAGCTTCAAGTTTAAACCGATTAGCCTGTTGTGTCAAATCCTCTGTTATACATTATTGGGCGGATGGATCAAGGACGTAACAGTAATATAGTATTGATAATTCCTGTAAATCAAATGATCTTAGTTGATTGTAAGATAGAGAAATTATGAAGATTAATTTTGACAAGTTATTTCAACTGAAAATCAAAACAAAATAGTGCGAGAAAATACTTTACAATTATTTTGCATTTAATCTGTGTCTAAACTAACCATCAAGTAGTCAGAAATCTACGGTAATATGTAAATATGAATGTTATACGAGGTATGAAAAAAGAACAACAGACAACAAAAACAAACTAAGAATATCAGAAGGGGTTTTGTGGATATTTTAGTAATTTTACTAGTTGAGATCATGAATTAATTGAAGCTAGACCACAATGGAAAACCTGGAAACACTGGACAGCCGTTTCGTCCTATTGTAGGACTCCTCAGCAGTGCGCATGCATGATCCCGCCTCGCGAGATTCAAACCTAGGTCGCTTAATTTCGTGGATCGGTTAAAGTTAGACATTAACAGGTCTTCCATTTTGGTCTAGCTTCAATTGATTCATGATCTCAACTATTAAAACTAATAATACACTAACTTATGAAATAAATTTATCTCACATACATCATGAATATAGTATATGATAATCTAAAGCTAACGTCGTCACTCATGGATTCGGACCTTGGCAACGTCAAGAGAGTTTGAAACTAAACTGAAACTTCTGTCCAGTTTTCCGTGGTTTTCAGTGATTGTCTTTCTGAAACCAGTCTGTGATAAAAAATGATAGGTGAAAGATGTTATAAATATAATCCATAAAGTTTGTATTATTTTAAATATTATATTAACTTATTTTCAGATCACCAATTCTAAACCGTTTTTTCTTTTAGATGGTCGTAAGTAACTGACATGAAACTCTAAATCTAGGTTGCTCGCTAGTTGGACACTTGTCAGCATGTTGTAAATACTATATTGAAGGATCTGATATTCATCACCGGATCTGATACTGAATCATTTAGTTTCATTGACCGAAACTTTTTAAACAGACTATTCTTGATACAACTGACTTCTCATATGGTTAGAATATTTACATTGATTAATGAGTGAGTAGTTACAAATATCATGTTTGTCTAGTACTTTAGTGATAACTAGATTACATTGATCAAATTGAAATATTACGATTAATCTGATTAACTGGATATCATGTTTATTACATTGAGGCAATTGATCGATAAAAGTCGACAAATATTTAAAAAAACTAGGAAAACATAATTTACTTACTTAATAAAATTAAATATGTTGACTCCCTCTAACTCAGTATATATATATATATACTACAATGATTACTTAATTTACTTACTTATGCCCGTTACCCCCAATCGAGCATAGACCGCCGACTAGCATTCTCCAACCCACCTTGTCCCCATCCTTCTTTTCTAGTTCTATCTAGTTGTTGTTCATTCTTCTTATATCTGTTTCCATTTCTCGGCGAAATGTGTTCTTTGGTCATACTGTTCTCCTTTGACCTTGAGGATTCCATGTGACAAGTTGCCTTGTAATGTAGTTGCGTGCTTTCCTCAATGTATGTTCTATCCATTTTCACTGCTTCTTCCTAATTACTTTCTCCACTGAAATCTGGTTTGTTTATATTCTGCATAGAAAAACGTAATATTGATCATTATTTAGTGGATTTCGCTTTCAATCATTCTGTCTCAATAATTCTACATAACAGTTGTAGTAAACAATATGTTTATTAATGAAAGGTATTATGTATTATTTAGTTATTTATTTACTTATATTTTTGCAGAAATGATTTCTATAGATAAACGATATTATCATTATTAGGTAAATCCTGGGTTTGAATCCCGAGAGGCGGGATCGTGGATGCGCACATGCTGAGGAATCCCACAATAGGACGAAACGGCCGTCCAGTACTTCCCGGTTTTCCATTGTGGTCTAGCTTCAATTGATTCATGATCTCAACTATGAAAATACTAAATCTCCACAAAACCCCTTCTGATAATTAATATTATTTATTTATTTACTTATATTTTATATAGAAATGATTCCTATAGTTAATCAATATTATCCTTATTATAAAAAACATCCATGTGATTATATTGTACAAACGAATTACATAACAAATAAAATGAATGAAAAATTGGTTAAGGTTAGACATTAACACCGTTGGATACCGACAGGCTCAGTGGTCTAGAGGTTAAGCGTTCTTGCGCAAGACTTATAGGTCCTGGGTTTGAATCTCGCGAAGCGGAATCATGGATGCGCACTTCTGAGAAGTCCCACAATAGGACGAAACGCCCATCCAGTGCTTCCAGACTTTCCATGATGGTCTAGATTCAATTGACTCATGATCCTAATTATTGTAGTAAATCATATCATTAATAAACGTTAATGAAAAGTATTATTTATTATTTATTTATCCTTTATAGAAATGATTCCTATAGATAAACAATATTATTCTTATTATAAAAAACATCCATGTGATTATATTGTACAAACGAATTACATAACAAATAAAATCAATGAATCAATCAATAAATCAATGAAAGATAATGAAAAGAATCTAATTGAAAAATCAAAACTATTATCATTTATTAATTTATCAAATCATAAAATGTTAAAAACATATAAAACTGAAAAATTTCGTATCAATTTAATCTTAAGATTACGTAGTATCTGGTCACGTTCATCATTGAAATCTCAACAAATTGAATCGAAACATATTCACAAATCATTTACAAATCATCATCAACACCAACGTCAACAGTATCAACAGCATCATCGTCATCGTTGTCGACATCATCATGATCATCGTGATCATCATCATCATCATCATCCACATGAACATTATCAATATCAACAATTAGATAAAAAAGATAATAATAATCAATTGATAAACCCCCATAATAATAATAATAATACTCAATCTATCAGTGATACATTGAATAATTCTATTAAATTAAAAACTGTACAAACAAGACATACTACTGAATTATCAAATCAATCTAATAATAATAATAATAATAATAATAATATACAAATATTGTTGTCAAGGCAATATCATTCTGAAAGTTGTCTATTATATCCATATAATATGCATAATCATATTCATAATTGTTTACATATTCATTATCATTTAAATGTATGTTCTAAATCAATAAATAAACAAATAAATAATAATAATAATCATAATAATATAAAAAAATTATCCCATCAATTATCGAATATAAAATTACAATCATCTTATATGAAACATTCTTTAACAACTAATAATATATGTTGTTTATATACATTAAATTGTGTACCATCACTTGAATGTATAACACAACCAATATCAACATCAAAATCAATACCAGTTACATCAACATCAACAGCATCGTCGTCACCATCCACAGCATCCACAGCAGCATCGTCGTCATCATCATCATATGGACAACAACAATTTAATCAATCAGATTATAAATGTTCCAATTTACCAACTACATCAATTATGTTAAATAGAAGAAATAAAAAATGCAAATTAATATCACCATTTGAAAAACTTAAATATCATTCATTCTATCGTGATACACAATGTAATTTAGGTAAATGGATACAACAAACATTAACATGTAATGATATGAATAAAAAATATTTAGATAATAATAAAGATCAAGATAATACTAATACTACTAATAATACTACTTATAATGACAATAATTATGAGAATGAATTGGACAATGATAGTATGAATAAGAATCATTCTAATAATCAGTTTACGGATATAACAAACTATTTAAATTATGGTAGACTATCAGATACTTTTAAACATGTACATTTTGCTGATGAATCTACATATTCATCATTAACAACATTAAATTCATTATCAAGATCATCATCATTATGTTCATCAAATTATACAAATAGTTCATTATCACCTCAAACATCTTATACAATGAATTTAAATGATTCTCCTGAAATGAATGATAATGATGATAAGAATATAGTTAAACAATCTATTTCTAAAGATATTCTATTTAATCATTTAGAATATCCAAAGAAATTTTTATTGAAACGTACTATATCTAGTCCTAAAATGAATTCAAATAAAACTAATACACCATTTGTAACAGTAAATTTATTTCATAATGATATAGATCTATTAGAAACACCATTACGTGTAGTCAATCGATTGGAAACAGAACAAGTAAGCTTATAATATATATATATATATATATATATATATATATATATAACCTAATTACTTACACCTGCTGCCTCTCATGGAGAAACAATAGGCCACACACCAGTATTCTCCATTCAACTTTGTCCTGAGCAATCCTTTCTAATTGATGTTCACCCCTTTTCATATCTGCTTATATTTCTTGATGTAATATGTTCTTCGGCCTTCCTCTTTAACGTTTCCATTCAGAATTCCAAGTTAGCGATTGCTTCGTGATGTAATTTGATGTATACCACTATGTATGTCCTATCCACTTCCAATGTCTTTTTCTAATTTCCTCTTCAGCTGAAAGCTGGTTTGTCCTTTTCTATGAAAGGCTATTGTTGATGGTATTCGGTCAACGGACATTCAATATCTTGTGTAGACAGTTGTTTATAAATACTTGTACTATTTTGATGATAGATGTAGTAGTTCTCCATGTTTCAGCTCCGTACAGTAGGACTGTCTTGACGTTCGTATTGAAGATTCTCACTTTGAAAATAGTTGACAGTTGTTTTGAGTTCTATATGTTCTTCGACTGTAGGAATGCGTTACTTGCTTTGCCAATCATCACCTTTACATCTGCATCCGATCCTCCTTATTCACTCATGATACTACTCAGTTACGTGAAAGTTTTCATCTCTTCCAGAGTTTCTCCATCAAGTGTGATTGGTTTTGTTGGTGTTCTCCGTATTGTATTCGAGGATCTTACTTTTACCTCTGTGTATGTTGAAGCCTATTGATACAAAAGCTACTTCTACATTTGCTGTTTTCGTCTGTATTTGTTCGTGTGTATGAAATAGGAGGGCTAGGTCATCTGTGAAGTCCAAATCGTCTAAATAATTATGAGAAGTCCATTGTATTACGTATTTCCCTACAGATGTCGAGGTTTTCATAAGCCAGTCAACCAGTAGAGGAGATAGAAAGGAAGAGGGTGGTCAGCCTTATCTGCCTCCGGTCCTCACTTGGAATGCATCTGTCAGCTGTCCTCCATAAGCGACTTTGCACTGTAGTCCGTCGTATGAAATCCTTGTGATGTTGACAATCTTCTCGGGTAAACAATAGTATCGGCGCAAGTTCCATGAGGTTTCCCCTTCCACACTGTCAGATGCCTTCTCATAGTCGATGAAGTTGATGTACAGTTATAAATTACACTCAACTGAGTGTCCGACGATGATCCGTAGTGTGACGATTTGGTCTGTGCACGACTGATTTTTACGGAGTGCAGCCTGTTGATCTCGTATCTGGGCCTATATATATATATATATATATATATATATATGTATATATATATATATATCTTTAACATGTTGAGGTAATTTTGTTTAAAACGTGTTGTAAATCAAGGAGTAATGGGCAACTATTCTCATAATATCTAGCGGTTTGCACTGACGATACTGATGTTGTACAAGGTCGGCTTCAACCAAGTTGGGATGAGACAAGTATCAACATTGACAATATATAGTGATTATATAATATCAAGAATCAACTAATTATGGCCACAACATTTTCAGCTTATCAACCTATAAACAAATCATCCAAAGAAAGATCCTCAAGTTCATGGTCCAACCTTTGGAAGGCTCTTAAGTATACAATTCTGAAGAATAGGGAATTAGGATGAAACATCTGGTTAAGTATACCTTGTTTTCAATAGCATTCTAGTTGTCACCTTGCGATTTATAACGGCCTTGAACTGAATAATCTCCATCTTAATGCATCTGATGTTAGTCGAACTAATTGGACACAGTTGTCTAAGCTCGAGAATTTTTATACTATCTGATAAAAATTTACTATGTGGGTAGTTAGATAAAATTAACTTTCATAATAGTAAGTGTATCGAAAAGTAAGTGGGTTTGCGAATGAAGTATCTTAACGGACCATAGGTTCATTAAATTTAGGGAACAAAATAAACAAAGATAGTTAAATAATTTACCCGATAAAAGAGTCTGTTTTTGTTAAAGCAAGACGGCACATTCAACACGTAATAAACCGACTGACCATAGAACATCGATATTCATCTGCGTTTATCATAAAGACCAACATATAACTACATTGATTACAAACCTTGCACATGACCATTTTTGTAACTTCAGTGAAAAACTGAAAGATAAATTATTAAGATTATGTAATGTCGGTTACAATGTTAAGCCCACATAGCTTATTTTAGCTTTCTGACAGGACATTTGATTCATTCTTCTTGAGTCACATTTTGACATTGTTAGTTATTATCTTACAAATCCTGATTGTTTTCATATGATCATACGTGTGACAATTACTTAATTTACTCATCAGATGTCTGTAACTTATTTTTGGTCTGACTATAAATATCAATTCACGTTTGGTTAAACTGAGTTGACACAATCGCCTCCTCCATTGCGCATCATTTTGTTTTGCTTCGCTTTCCGATCAACCATAGTATGAAATGCACGTATTTGAAATTCATTGTTGTATTTGACATATTTAAGTCCATTATACACTCATGCGAGTTAAGTCGATGATTATATACATGAGTAGCTAGGATGTATATTTCGATAGCATTCATTCGATAACTATCACTCATACGACATAACAGGAGTCAGATTAAGGGCCAATAAAATAATATAAAACTTTCAAAATATTTTTCTCTATAACGGATAGACAACATTGCTAGCATATATATAGTTTAGCTATTAGTGGAATATAGGATTAGCGTTTTATCCTAGTTTGGGCTTGCCAGCTGGGTGTATTCTCATCTCGGAGTCGACGTTCACTCCAGTGATAAAATAAGTCCTAGTTCCCATTGACAACCACATTACATCTATTCGACATCAATCCACACAGAAAGTAAATATAACAACCAAGATCGATCGAATTCCAGTTAAAATATTAGCAACCGGATAACTCAAACCATTAACATTAAATTAACAATGTTAGCCACTTTTTAGCAAGATTCTTTTATACTAGATAGGGATTCTAACTCCTTGCCTAATGCTCCTATTTTGTCCGGCCTTGGGACCAGTTGTAGTATTATAAAACTCCTATCTTACTAACACATTGATAATAAATTATCTTGTAAAAACTTACACAATAAATAATATTTATTTGTTGTGTATACCACTTCACTTATAGTACTCAATAAGATCTTACCTAGCAACTACAAAAATTATAGAATATTTTTTCAAAGTATGTGTCTTTAGTGTAAAATTTACTAGAAAAAAAGTTTTGTATTCAAAACAAAAGGGATTAAAGTACATCTCTACATGGTGTTATGTAATTTGTGTTTAGGTTTTGTTTGTATATGTCACGTTTTTTTTTTGTTTTTACATCAAATGACAATAACTATCGGAAGTTCATGTGATATTATGTATTTTCATTGTTTAATCGTATACAATAAACAAACTAAATAACTAAATATAGACTACTGAATAGACTAGTAAATTTTACAAGAAATGAAGATATCTTAGAAAAACTAAAGATGACATATTTTAGGTGTTAAACTAGTACTAATAAGTTAATATCAGTTTAAGTTAGATATTAACACCGTTAGATAACAGCCGGCTCAGTGGTTTATCGGTTTAGTGCTCTGGCGCGAGACTGGTAAGTCCTGGGTTCCAATCTCGCGAGTGCGGGATCGTGGATGCGTACTGTTGAGGAGTCCCATAATGGGACGAAACGGCCGTCCGGTGCTTCCAAGTTTTCCATGGTGGTCTAGCTTCATTTGACTCACGCTTTCAACTATAATATCTAGGTGACATTCATCTTTCATTGACCTAAAATGGAATATCATTGAAAATCAAGGAAGACTGAATGGCTTTTTTTCTTGTTCACATCCCATAATTATTAACAATGCCCGACTATGACCACTTCAGGAATCAAGCCCAGGGTATTTTCGGTCTCACATCAAATTGTTAACCAGTAAACCATCAGAACTTCAATCAGTCTTCAAGATAGCGTGAAGACTATCCAGTGTCACTGGTTCAGACTATTTCGCCTCCATAAACTTCTGAATCTCCACATCCACAACTTCTTAGTAGAACCTCTATAATTAATTACGAAGTATGCGAAAATTAAGTCACTGTAATAATTTTGTTAATGATTTTATATTGATAAGTTGGCTTCGTATATGCGCTTTGCTATAGATTGTCTTGAAGATCTTCGTTCCGACTACTGGCCAAGTTATTGGTGCACACGTCTAAGGAATCGCATAAATGGTTGCAACAGCTGTTCAGTCCTCCCTGATTTTAAAGCTACTTTAACTAAAATTACTCCATGACGAATTCTACCTACAAATTAAGAATAATTTCCGTAAAAGTACTTTATCCAAATGAAGGAATATTTTAAATATAATGTTACTAAGAAAAGCTGAGAGATTCGATTATAGCAATATGTTCACTACTTTTTATTCAACCAAGTGTTTAAATACTTCAAATAATCCATTATACAATAAAATGTTTACAATTTAAAATATTCAAGGAATTCTACCCTGTTTTACTGTGTTCTACAGTAACAACTCAGTAATAGCGGTTCATTTTTGTTATATCCCCAAAATAATTAAAAACGAGAGAGACCTGTTGAAAGTTAAAAACTGATTAACTGAGATTAGTGATCATATTTTAAACTTAATTAAGAATAGTATCGACAATCAGAGACAATTATGACATTGGCCACTGCTTATTGATCCATTAATACAAAGTTTAAGTTACTTAATAGTAAACTAATTGTTGGAGAGACCCAGAAAATTCCTCGATGAAAGGCAAATGAGGCCCTGAGAACCCTGGGAAATAATTTACCTAATCAGCATTGAATAAGTTCCTTAGAAGCATCTAGAAAGTGGAGAGTCAAGTGTTACATTTCTGATTGGGTGATTACCTATCCTGCTACTATGTCTAGTAGGGTTCCAGAACCTCCTGGAAACCCAAGACCATCTGAAATGTTATAAATACCTTAAATTTCCTGTACATAAACTAACTTTGGAGTAAAGTGTTCTTCCCGTATTTCGCGCCTTT